GGGGCAGTGTGGGAACACGGGTTCTGACCCGATTCTGGTTGAGTGTTCTTTGGAAGTTCCTGAAACTTGAATAGCGCCTGCACCGTTTGCATGTCAGCTCCCTGGGCTGCTTTTCTGTTTGTGCCTCCTCACGTTCAAACTATGTTAAAGCTTGTGAACTTTTTACTTTGCTTTTAGGTTGCCTTAAACATCGATCAAGATTTGTAGGATCAACCAACCTAGAGCAATAAAATTTTCTGCTGTTTTCAAGTTTCCAATCATGAGGTCCCCGATTGTACTTTTTTCCCTCCAAAGTTGAACTGTGCTCTTTTCTTTCCCCTGGAGACCACTCTATAAAATGGCCTTTAAGGGTCGCCTTAAAATGCTGTTTTTGAGTCTCCAGTCCTATCATTTTTTGATTCCACTAAAGCAACCAAAGGGCCAAGCGGGAGACGCCTGTGTGTCTGCGTGCAGACGCGATGGCTGGGTCGCTGTTGTGACCAGAGTCCCGGAGTGGGGCTCGTGCGTTCCACCTTCAGGTGCAAAGAAGCACCGTTCCTTCTGGGCTAGTTGACGGCTCATGTCCTCAGCAGCTGCGCAGGGGAGACTCCTGGACACAGGCTGTGCCCTGCCCTCTTCCAAGTTCCAGGTCTCGGCTTGGGCTTTGTAGGGAGCTGTCCCTCCTTCACAAAACCTTTTCAAATCTGTTCTGTGAAGGGAGTCCTTTCTGTTCCTCAGGGCACAGGATGGAAACACAAAGGCCAGAAGGAGGCTAATTTTGGGAGGGGAAAATAAGTTTTTGCTTAAATTATGCCTTTCCAGAGGCAATCAAAACACATGGTCTAGGGGCCTACCTGGAGAGAGCAAAAGAGAAAAAAAGGAAAGAAAAATATTTGTTTCTTTCAAAATAAATGTTATCAGGGTCAACAAGTGGCATAGCAGTTAAGGCACCGACCCCCACATTGCCAACTGCAGTTCAAGTCCCAGACATGGTGGCTTGAAGATGACTCCAGGCATGCGCACATGCCCCAGATCCCAAGAGGAGAATGGAAGAGAAGAGACTGCAGCACAACCGTCCTCCTGGGGCTGATTTCTCACTTCCCTCTCACCACCTCTCTGGAGAGCACATGTGCCCTATGGCAAAAACCTTAAAAAAAAAAGGCTGTTGGGGACAGCAGATGGTGTGGTGGCTGGATTCCCACAGGGATGACCGTGATTCGAGTCCCAGACCCAGCGGCTTCAAAATCACACTAGGCATGTGTGCGTGCATGCCCGAAATCCCGAGGAGGATAGAGAAGGGGTTGCGGCATGGCCATCCCGGGGGTGATTTGTCACTTTCCTTCTCTCTGTCTCTCTCCGATGAGCACACACACCCTATGGAAAAACCTAAAAAAGTTAATAATAAATAAGTAAATAAATGAATGTTACCCTGTCATGACAGCTCTGTACCTTTTTGAGAATTAAGTCTCAGGTGCCCTAGAGGGAGATGTCTGTGTCTGCTGCCAGGCGCTGTGGCTCGGAGCAGGTGACCGCGCATCGTTCTCCAGTGAGTGTCCAAGGGAGACGGGACCCTGGCATCACCCTAAGCCTTGCCATCCGCCTAAGCCGCGGAGGCCAGGAATGCACGGCAGACTTAGCGGTCTCCCAGGTGTGCTGTGAAGCTGGGGTTTGGCAGCCAGAGTCTGTGTGCTGGCCGGTCACAGGGTGGAGGGTTGTAGGTATGGGTGGCATCGGACTAGTTTAAAGTGCTCTTGGCCAGAAGCAGGCACAAGAGAGAGGGTACAGGAGGGCCCCTGTCCCTGCAGAGAGAGCGCTCACAGCACGGGCCCCCTGGGCTCTCTCAGGGCTGAGACTCCCTGTGTGGCGGCAGGGCTCACCTCAGGCCTGCCGAGAAGGGACAGGGATGCCCCTGTTTGACAGACTTCAGGCTGTGGGAGGTGCAGGCATGCACACATGCCCAGTGCGAGTTTAAGCCACCCAGTCTGGGACTTGAACCGTAGTCAACTACGGGAGTCCAGCGACATAGCCATTACGCCAGCTGCTGGTCCCCATTTTTAGTACTTTTTTTCCTCTAATGTTTTTTCTTCATACTTTATATTCTTCATATTTATCTGGTATTTGCGGGTGTCTGATTTTTTTCTAGTCTCCTTTTCTATAGAATATAATATATTCTTTATTTTGTTTGGATTGAAGATACTTTAGCTTGGATGTAGTGGATAACTTTTGTTTTTTTTTTTGAGTAATAACTTTAGAGATTGCTATAGTTTGAATGTGTCTCCCCAGAGTTATGTGTTAAATTCGTGAAGGTATTAAGACAGTGGGAACTTAATCTGACTGTGTTATTGAGAGGTAGAGCCTTTGAGAGGTGATTAGGCCTGAATGAGGTTATCAAGGCGGGCCCCACCTGAACACAGATGGGTCCATAAGGAGAGAAAGACCAGAGCAGACGCCAGGGACATGGATGCTCTGCTCTGTGTGCATCCTGGTTTCCATAGCATCTGCTGGCCAGGAGGCCTCACCACACGGGGCCTCTGTAATTTGGAGCACCAAAAGTGAATAAACCTACATCTTTACAAATTACTAGTAACACATTGAGGATTTTTGCGTTTATATTAAAAGTACATATATTTTCTTAAGGTTTATTTAGAGAGAGAGAAAAAAAAGAAGAGACCCCCAATGGGGCTTGCCCACTGAGATCCTTCCCCTCAGCTTCCGGCCAGCTGAGTCATGGCACCCTCAGTGTCAGCCTGGGGCCGGGACCCTAGGCATGCCCACAGGCCCCAGGCTCACTCGGGTGTCCTCTGCCTGTACCACCGCTGCCATGCTGACTTACTTATTTACTTTTTCATTATGCCCATTTCAGACTAAGCTAGGAGGTACTCCTCTCTGCTTTTATTTTTGGGACAATTTGGGAAGGATTGATGTTATTATTCTTTAAATGTTTGGTAGAATTCATGAAGCCATTTGGGTTTGGACTTTCTTTATTGAAAGCTTTTTTGTTTTGTCACTGTATTCATTTATTTATTTATTTTTACTTTTTGCCATAGGGCTCATGTGCTCATCAGAGAGAGGCAGAAAGAGGACAAGTGAGAAATCACTCCCGCAAGGGGGATTCCATATTGCAATCCTTTCTCCTCCATTCTCCTCTTGGGATTTTGGGAATGCATGCACATGAACATGGTATGATTTTCAAGCCACCGGGTCCTTGAACTGTGGTTGGCCATGTGAGAGTCTAGTGCCTTAACCACCACAACACCTTCTAGCCTCTGTTAGAAGGTTTTTATTCACTAATTCATTTTATTTACCTTCAATATTTCTTTTTCAATTTGAGTTGGTTTTGTAATTTCTGCCTTTCTAATTTTTTTAGAAAAAAATGTTTTGCTTTTCTTTGATCTAAGATATCTAATTTGTTCACATGTAAAATTCTTTATATTTTGCTAGGTCAGTCGTATGTCGCTCTTTTTTTGTTCTTGATTTTAGTATTTTGAGTCCTCTCTCTTCTGGATCAGCTGGTCTAAAAAATTGTCAATTTTGTTCATCTTTTCAAAGCAATAGCTTTTTTTTTAAATCTGTTTTGCCTATTATCTTTTGTATTTATTTCTGCTGTAATGTCTATCATTCTTTCTGTATGCTTTGGGTTTATCTTTTTTTTTTTTTTTAATGGGCTTAAGTGCAGGATATTGACTGGAGGTCCTTATTTTGTGAAGGCACTTACAGGTACAAACACCCCTCTGAGCACTGCTTTTATTGCATCTCATTAGTTTAAACATTGTGTTTTCTTTTTCGTTAGTCTCAAATTTTATTTGTTTGTTTTTATCATAGGGTGCATGCATTCACTGGAGAGTCAGAGCGAGGGAAAGTGAGAAATCACTCCCTAGGGGGATGGCCATGGTGCAATCCCTGCTCCTCCTCCATTCTACTCTCAATGTGCCAGGTCCGGGACGCGAACCATGGTTAACCATGTGGGAATCCAGCCTTAACTACCATACCACCTGCTGATCCCTCAAATTATTTTTTTACTTTCCCTTATGATTTCTTCTTTAATCTACTGATTATTTATGAGAATGTCATTTAATTTCTATTTATTTGTAAATTTTCAAAAGAATTCTTCATTGACTTCTAGTTTCCTTCTATTGTGATTAGAAAACATACTTTACATTAGTTCAGTAATTTACAATTTATTATGTACTTTTGTACAGCTTGGCATGGAAATTATCCCAGAGGGTGTTCTAGGTGTACTTGAGAAGAATCTCTATTCTGCTGCTTTGGGGTGAAGTGTTCTATGGATTTGTAGGTTTGTTGTTTTATAATGTTTTTCAAATATTCTATTTTCTTTCTGATGATCTGTCTAGCTATTCTACTATTGAGAAATAGAGAATTGAGACCAGCCAGTGATGTGATGGTTAGGGCAGCTGGACCCCACATAGCCAACTGTGTTGTTTGAGTCCCAGACCCAGCAACTTGGAAAACATGCCAAGCATCTGCCTGTGTGCCCAACATCCTGAGAGGAGAATGGAGGGAAGGGGATTGCAGCATGGCCATCCCCCACGGGGGATACTTTCTCATTTTCCCTTTCTCTCTGTCTTTCTCTCTAGAATACACATGCCCTATAGCAATTTTTTTTAAAATAGAGAATTGACATCTCTAACATTTGTTTTACTGTCTCCCTTTCTCTCATATTCTGTCCGTTTTTGCTTTATAAGTTTTTGGTCTCCATTATTAGGTGCACAAATGCTTATGATTGTTACATCTTTTTTTTTTTTAATTTTTGTAGAGGTTTTTGCTATAGGGTATGTGCGCTCGCCAGAAAGACAAGAGACAGAGAGATAGAAAGTGAGAAATCACCCTCCCAGGGAGGATGGCCATGCCGCAATCCCTTCTCCTCCATTCTCCTCTCAGGATCTTGGGCATGCATGCACACGCGCCTGGTGTGAGTTTAAGCCACTGGGTCCAGGACTTGAACCGAAGTTGGCTACATGGGAGTTCAGCGACATAGCCATTACACTAACTGCTGGTCCTGATGATTGTTACATCTTCTTGACAAATGGATCATTTTATTATTATAAAGTGTCCTTTTTTACCCTTAGTACCATTTTTTGTCTTAAAATCTATAATCTCTGACTTTAGTACAACCACTTCAGCCCTATTTTTTTTCAAAGAATTATTTTTATTTAACTTTATGTGTTATTATTGTAATTATTTTCCAATTAGTTCAGACACAGAGAGAGAGGGAAAGTGAGAAAGCAAACCACCAGGTCCAGGACTTGAACCATGGTCGGTCATGTAGGAGTTCAGTACTTTTTTTATTTTATTATTTTTGGTTTCAAAAAATTTTTTTTTGA